TCCTTATGAGGAGTTGGGCATGAGATAGTTGAGTCACAAGCACAATGGCAGACGGACAAAGTTTGGAGACAAGTGAAAAACGGCCTAGCAAAAGAAAAGCAGCTCCTCTGTGTGAGGAGGCAAAGAAGAGCAAAAAGGAGAGTGATAAAAGAAGAGGAAAAACAAGAGTAAAGCTCAGTCAGACGTTCAAGAGATGGAGGGAGCTCCGTGACCAAAGAGGCTTCAAAACCCATGTCCAGCTAGCTTTCTTTCTAATGGATTAGTAAGTAACATGGCTAAATGTTAGCTAGACCAGAGAGGACTGTACTGTACTGGCTGCTAGTTCATTCCTAGCTGGCCAGCATCGCAAATCGCCACAACCAGGGAGCGGGTAGCGAGTGTTGGTCGGCCAACATCCTGGTTGCCATTCTACAGCAGCCCTCGGACAGTGATACCCCCCTCCCTTCCTTCTGTTCTCTTCTCACGGAGGCAGCTATCAACGGACATCGCCCAGCTAAGTGAACACTGGACTTTGTTTCCCATTCAATTTGAGCTCCAACCGGCCGCATGGTTTCCATACGGTAGCGTTTATTCTAGAATGGGGACTGTTTACATGTGCATATTGGTATAATTCCACTGTGTCTACTGTTGTTTGTACTGATACTGTACATATTGGTATCATTTACTGTGAGTTGTTTGTACTGGTACTGTGCATTCTGCTATAATTATTTGCATTACTGTTTGTTTTTTCTTCAGATAAATCTGATAATTGTTGCTCGGTCTTTTCATACATATACGCAGAGGTATACCGGTGGCTTTACAGCCTACATTTTATTTAATATAGAGAGTCTAATAGAGTCATATATTATTAATTATCTCTGATCCCCACGGTCAATTTGGTCGTTGCAACAGTGCGACACAACACCACTGATGCTAAGTGGCGCCAAGCTAAAAAAAAAAAAAAAAAAAAAAATCCTATCTGTTGCCTCTTTAACTGCTCTATCAGCATGGTGAAAGAAAACCTTCTAAGCTTTAAAAAGTGTAAAGACATACAACAAGGTCTCACTCCAAAGTCGTCAAAATCTGGTGCTTGGTCAGTGACTTCCGGCGTCAGACACCGACGAAAAAAGCTGTGCTATCACTTTGGCATGATATGAAATGATACGAAAAACGATATTTTTAATGGTTCCAGGCAGGGTCAGGGGGAAACACAGTGGGACGGAAACCTGACTAGGACAGGTGGGAGGGGTGCTGGATGGGTCAAACAACCACCAACTTTCACCTGGGAGGCCGGTGTTCGCTTGCTTTAAGATTGTAAAGCCAAACCCTGTTCTTTTATTCTAAAACTAACCACGTGCTTTTGTAGCCTAAACTCAACCACGTCTGTGTGTTGGCCAAACGTCACCACGTATGTTTGTTGTTGAAAGAAAAAAATGGCAATGCACAGTGTTGTACCGACGTGGTGCTTTTATTTTGAAAGAGACTGTATGCAAACTGTACATTCCCTGTGGAAACAGAAGTGTATTTTGAAAACTGACAATGCATGTAACATTGGAGTTGAGAATAGAGACAGAATAAAAGAAAAACCCACAGTGATCTTACTGCTCACACACAAACGAGTCATGAGATGATGTTACCATAAAACAAAAGGCGAGACCAGTGAAGTGTCATGGTCCTGGGTTTTTATTTTGTTATCTTGGGGACTTTGTTTTCTGTATTCTTAATTTATGTTTAATCTGTTTCCTGTTTTATTTTTTAGATTCTCTCCTCAGGTCTCATGTTTTCTATCACACCTGTCTACCATCAGTCTCGTTAGTCTTCCCTTCACACCTGTTCTGTGTTAGTCCTGTTTGCTCCACCCTAGTGTTCCCCTCCACACCCTTGTTGTCAGCCAGTTCCCATTTCCCTCTTTTTGCCCGTGTCCTCCTCCTCCAGCTGTGTCTCATTCTTGTGATTAGATCTCTGTGCATATATACCTGTGTGTTTCCCTTTGTTTCTTTTAGTTCATCTGTGTTCATGTTTATGAAGTTGTTGTTGCTGCTCCAGTTCCTGCCTAAAGTCATCCATGTGTTTATCGTAGTATTGCAGTTGACTTTCAGTTAATTTTGGGTCTTCTGTCTCTTGTTTTTTATCAGCTCAATTAAAGCTCACCTTTTGTTTCAACGCTACCTGCCTACTGCTCTGCATTTGTGTCCTTTTCCGAACTGATACATGACAGACGTCACCTCAGGTGTCAAAACAAAGTCAAACACCGCCTCTTTCCCAACAGATGGAATACGTACAACATAATGTAGGCTACACATGCATACTGCTGGGCAGGCTGTATCAAAACCAAAGCAGAAAATTTACACAACTCATCTCTTAACCCTCTCCACGACTGTCTGGCGTTACGAGACACACACTTCACATGCTAAGACTTTTTTGCTACAAGTGCAATGACTGTATTTCATGCTGCAAACAGTGCAGACACAAGACACTTTAAAGACACATTTCTCTCCACCTGATTCCACTTCCAGAAGTGCTATTTTTGTTAATTATTTGTGATATTCATGAGCCTCAATACACTCACTGGGTATTAGATTTTATGTATGTAAACTGTGTAGAGATGTCTGCTTTCTCTCAAGTATAATGGAACTAGATGGCACTCAGCTTGTGGTGCTCAAAGTGCCAAAAAAATGCATTTGAAAAACTCAAATCTCCTTCCAGAAATCAAGACCCAGTTACTTAAGATAATCCACAGACATTGTGAGCAGTTTCATGAAGGAGCTATTTTCTTTCTACCAAACCACACCCACCAATCATATCACCCTGGGTGATATACTTCAAGCTGCAGGGTGCTGGGCAGTGAGCACAGGTCCCACTAGAGGACGTGGGGCCCTCATGTCACCCTCCTGGAGTCTGTTTCTGACAGTGTGGTCAGAAACACGCACACCAGTAGCCTGCTGGAGGTCATTTTGTCGGGCTCTGGCAGTGCTCCTCCTGTTCCTCCTCACATAGCTTTGTCTCCGAGTATCTCCCACACGCTTGAGACTGTGCTGGGAGACACAGCAAACCTTCTTGTGCCATCCTGGAGGAGCTGGACTACCTGTGCAACCTGACTGGGCTGCAGGTACGGCCTCATGCTACCAGAAGTGACAAGGACACTAGCAGAAGACCAAACTAGACAAGAATCAGTCAGGAAGGATAAGGAGAGAGCAACTGTCTGTGGACACCACATGTAAAACCATTCCCTTTTTGGGGGTTGTCTTGCTTTTGCCTCTCCATTGCACCTGTTGTCACTTTGATTTGCACCAAACACAGTCACTTGTGCTTCCTAAATGGACACATTGATACACTGAGTACATTTACTCAAGTACTGTGCAGCGCAGATGTCCACTATATTTCAGGGAGAAGTATTGTACCTTTAACTCCACTGCATTTGTTGGACAGCAGTAGTTACGTGTTGCTTTACTAATAAAGATCTTACACACTAAGTACACAATAGGCTAATGATATACATTTTATCGTTTAATCCGTATGGATAAACAGATTCCATGTCTGAAGGGTCATTTGTTCCTCAATAGAAAGTGAACTGTGCTACGTGTGCACAACATCTGGACTGGAATATAGTGTACTCACAACATGTCATGTAGAAATCACTTTCTTTAAACAGACCTCCAGTCTGTTTCTGAGCTTAGAGAGACACCTGGTGGTGACAGAGACAGAACCCTCCGTACAGTACATCTCACTGGAATATTCTTCATGCACTCACAGCTAATGGATTCACTGCTCCCTGTAGACACACCGTGTTCACCACTCTCTGTTGAGCCATTCATGTGACATTTACTCACATTTGTACATCGTTTATATATTTATTTTATATATTTCAGCTGTTTTTGAAATATATGCCTGACATGTGTGTGTGTGTATATATATATATATATATATATGTGTGTGTTTGTGTGTGTAATTATCATATAAACATGTTTTAATCATTATTAGTGTTTCTCATGTTTGTACGTATCGTTTAGTTGGCTCAGTGTGGATGTTAGTGTGACTGTAAGTAAAAAAAATATCACTTTATTTCATATATTTTCACTCAACGTGTTGTGGAATTTAAAATGTTGGTTAAATACACCAGATTTGCTCTGCATTCATATTCAATATGTGTATTTAATGCCTACTTTTACTGTAATTTAACTCATTTGGGAACATTTGAGTTTCAAATTATATTGAATTACATTATATTACATTATATTTTTAATTTTGATTGCTTTATTTTCTTATTTGTGTCATGCACACTTATATGAGCCCAACCCTTGTGGATTTACAAGACACCACACAATGATGTTGTATTAACAATCCATAGTACATGTTCTTTAACTGCTCAGTCATACTCCTATTTTAGAAAAGGCAAAGAAACTCAGCCACAAAAAAATGTTCCCTTTCTGAAACAAAATTTAAATTTTTCATGATCATCCAACCAAAAGAAATCAACATAGAGAGGTCATTCCTTATGTCTTCATATACTATACTGTACTAAATACTGTATTTATTAAATATATAATGCACATAACTGTACATATTTCTCATGTTTATTCATATTCTTGTTTTTTTCTATTGATGTGTATATTGTAGGAGCATTATCGCATAATACATATTTTATATTTCTGTTTGTAACATATTTCTATATTTATATTTTTACCCTTACAGACTCAGCACAGTGAACATATTTTTATTCTTAATATCTGAAGTGCTGGTGTTAAACATTGTCGCATAATGCATATTTTTATTTCTATTTCTATTTTATTACTTTATATTTACATACTCTTCTTACCTCTTAAAATTCTCTTCTCTTTACGTCAGAGTGACTGTAACGAATCCTGGGGATCAATAATAATAAATATATTTCTGATAGTCATAGTGTTGTGTCATTTAAATATTAAAGGATTAAAGGAATGGGTGGATTTTTGTGTCATCTCATCTAAAAATGTGTAATAAATTAATATGTTATAATGAACTTTATTGAACACACTGCAAAATCAGATTATAAATTTTATATCAGCATTACAATTCTTTTTTTTATTTTTTTACATAGCATCTGTATCAAACAACAAACAGAAAGCAGACTGAATCAATAGATTTAAAGGCATTCTCTGTCAACCCAGTACTTTTTTATTCTGATAGTTCACTTGCATCTCTCTCCTCCTCCTGCAAGTATTGTGTGATATTGCCTCATGCACTTGAAAGGCCTACGACTGCTAGGAGAGATACCAAGAGATTTCTCACACACACACATACACACACGCTCAAACACAGGCACACGCACCCTCCACGAGCTGGGAGATGAGATAGGCAACTTATGTTGTCTGTTGACTGCTGGAGCTTGATATGGCTCCGCTCAGCCCCGGGGCTCGATCACAGTGCAGGAACAAAGTAGTGAAATATTGGAAAACACAACATGAGAAGTGCCGATTAGTGTTTCTCAACTAAACATATTTTCCTTTATTGTGTGGCTGTTTGGAGCAGCTCCACTCAATCCTGGCTCCTGAAGCTAAAAGGAGAAACAGGTTTTGTTGCAGAGTGGTCAGGTGTCAATCAAAGCCCACCGTGTGCCTCGTGCTGCCGTCCTGTGGTGAATCCTGGGAAATAACCTGGACTCTGACTGCATTGCAGCCAAAAAAGAGGGCTGGAGCCAGCAGTTACAGGGCAGGGCACAGACTGGGTGGGAGGGGCGGAGTGGGTTTATTCTGCATCTGTCTCTATCTCTTAATCCCACCCTCTTCTTATTCTCTGTGAGCTGATCTGGGTGCAGTTCATGGAATTTGGACAGCTGTTGCAAGGCGTTTGAATGGCTGCAGGATGAGTGCATAATGAGCAGCATGCAGTGAAAAACAGTCCAAAGGCAGAGATCAATGATACTACATAACTGGTTTATTTGGCTGTAATTTACCTGATGTATAATTTCCTGACATTGACATCGATTATTAAAAGGACCTGAATTTCAGATACATCAAATTGATCAATTGAAAACAAAATTCCCATGAAGTCGTACCGTTACCCAACAACGATTTATTGTTGCGTCAACAGGTGATTGTTTGTTCGCAAAATACAGCCGAGAGAGGAGAGAAGAGAAGAGAAAGGAAAAAAGCCAGTGAATGTTTCTGCGTTTCTCAGAGCGGAAAACCAAAAACCTGAGCATGAATCACACTGGCGGCGGCGGCGGCGGAGGGGGGAGAAAGTCGCCAGCTGATGAGAGGAATAAAGTCAACTCAGTTAAATTGACGGTGGAGATCTTGAAGCCATGCAGTTAACAGAATATTGCCTTCAAATAACACTCGCACATGCTTTTTCCAAAATCAAACATGCATTGGGTATTTCAGGTGGGGTAAAGAAGTGTAAATACTCGACAGTTTTAGCAATACAAATTCTCTAAATGTTTCTGATAATGAATATTTGTAGAGCATGTTACACACTTTGTCCAGCAATCCCTTTATTCAGTTGATTGTTTAAAGCAAATGATAAATGAACATTATTAAGTAAAAATAAAATATAAAATAAAATATATATTTAGCATGGATCTGCCTCGATGCTGCCGGTGTGTGTGTGTGTCACAAAAACCACAAGCAAATTCCATCACTACTACTAATTCAAAGAGCATTTTGTAAACGATCAATCATTGCAAGCGCAAACTCGGTCATCACAAGGCTGTGAGTGCAGTTCGGATCACAGTGGTCACGGACAAGTTCAGCATCTCCTCTAGGAGCCACCTCACTAAGGCTTGTTATAGTTTAGTCACCCATTTGGAAACTTCTTTTTTTTTTTTTTTCTTTAGGAAAGGTGTGTTTGTGTTCGACCATCCTCTGGAAACAATTATATGTTGTTTTTGTTTTTCTCTTTTTTAGAAAAGAACTACCAAAATCATGCAACTACCATTTCATTCCTGTGAGACAAAAACCAGTTGGTGCTCTTGACTTGATTTTTCTCTTGGTGCTGGTCGGGGAGGTTCGGAGGTGAGGTCAGCGTGGGCGTTTTAGGCACTGCCATCCTGTTTGAGCCGCTGACTGCGAGCCTTGTAGACCTCGATCAGTAAATCTTTGACATACTGGATCTCGCGCTCCACCGACTCCGCCTTGTCACGAAGCTCCCGGTTCTGCCCCTCGAGGCCATGCAGCTCCTCCTCCAGAGAGTCCAGCTCCGCCCTCTTACGCAGCCTGTACCTGTAACAGAGGGGGAAGCTTTTGGTTGGTCTCACGGGGTTTTTTTTTTTTTTTTTTTTTTGCTGCCTTGCATCTTTATTAATGAGTCAAGTGAGCGTGACCTTTGAGCTACATCGGGAGGATTACTCACGCAGCTCAGACATCCCTCCCCCAAGGTAACATGATGTGCTGTTTATTTCACCTCATGACTGATCAATTCTCCCCAACTTCCCACTTTCACCCACAAACATTACAGAGACTTTTTACAGCATTCAACACAGACTTGAAGGAATGAAACTCACACACAGGCAAACCAGACTTATAGAAAGGGTTAGGTGGGGCTGAATTTGGCAGGCAGTGAGGGACTTTCCATTTCCCTCCTACACTCTGCAGGACATTTTTAAAGCAGTGGGGTGGCTGGTTTACGTAACACTCCTGCCATGTTCAAGTTTTAAAGCGAAACAACAAAATAATCAAGTATCATGAAGTGATTGATGAGCTTAAAAAACACGAATATAATCTTTAATGACCACTGCAGCAACTTTAGTGATGTCATAACAGATGTTTTTACATGTTTATGAAGCAGCTTTTTAAAAAGACAGTCAGATAAAGAAGGAGATGAGAATAAATTTCACTAATTGTTTACCTGTGTGCAGCAGTTTTGTTCTGGTCTCTCTTCTTCTGCTTCCTCTCTCCACTGCTGCCTTCCAGAGAAGGGGCGCCCATCACCAGAGCTGGTTTGAGGGAGCAGGGCTCATCCTTTAGCCTCTGGGTGGGGCGGTGGATTGGGGCGCCCATCAGCGTCCCCTCGCCGTCCCCTCTGGACAGACATTCGTAGCTTTGGTCTGCAAGGCATTCTGGATAGAGGTAGTGGCCATGTTGGGGCTCTACAGCCTGTGCTTGTGACGGCTGATCTAGGTCACCTATAAAGCTATGGTAAGGCTCTGTGCTGGCCATGGACTGGTGGAAGTAGCCGTCACCGGCCACCATTGTCTCTTGGGGGATACTCCCAGAAAGTCCTCCATCTTTACTGCAGTGCAAGACCTCGAGCCCCGTGCTGTCGTAACTTACATTGACCTTCACGTTGTGCATCAACTGTCCCTCTCGCTTGTGGTGGCTGTCGTACGAGCCACCCAGACAAAAACCTCGGGCAATCTCTTCGCTGCAAAACATTCCTTCTGAAAAACAATAACTCTCCTCTTCCTTCAACGATAAAGCACATTCTCTCACCTTCTTGACGCTCCCGAGGCTGTTCTTGCTCACTGTCTTCAGTGTGGAGTAGTGGTTCACAGACAACTCTGTGCTTCCTGAGTAACTTCCCCTCGAGCCCCACGTATCAAGTCCAACTTCCTCCCCGACTTTCACCGCCTCACTGAGGATTCTTCGCCCGTTGTTGTGGTGGTAGCGGTGATGGTAGTTGTACGGAGCGGGTCGCGCGATTTTGGTTCTGCCGATGGGACCGCCACAAAAGCTGGCCAGGTCCAGTTCCCCTGTTGCCAAGGTAACAACCACAGGGCTGGTTTCTGATTGGCTGGTCCCATACGAGCCATAGGGTAACTGATAATAAGACTGGGAGCCCATGGCTTGAGCACCCTTGTCACATTTTGAGGATTTCTCCAACTTGTTTGTTGTGGATGTGGACTCGGAGCGGAAGTAGTCCTCCAGCTGAGCCAGCTCCTCCTGCAGTAGAGAGGTCATGACCTCCAGATCCGAGGGCACCTTGACATCTTGTTCTAACGGCGAGGGTGGAAGGGATGAGCTGGGAGAAGACTCGGTCGTCGACACAAATGAAGACAAATCAACTTTTTCCGTCATCCAATCTGAGTGACCATCACCTATGAAAAATTAAAAAAAATAATGATTATAAAAATCATAGAATCAGCAAAGCAATCCAATATTTTCATTCAGCTGTTGGTGCAGAATAACTGAAATACAAAAACTACAATTCAGGAAAAAAAATCTTAAAATCACGCAAGGTAGAGAGGATAAATGTAAAAAAAAAAAAAAAAAGAGAGAAAAAACTGAAGCTTAAAATGAAGCAATACATCCGAGAAATCCAAGTGAACAACTAACCGATCATCTGAAAATGATTGAACAGCATCGTCTGCATTCGATAAATATCCACTTAGCTGTACTCACTGTACGACATTAGCCCCGTGCTGCACTGCGGCTCCGACCTCGGGATGTGGAAAAATAAAAAAGCGTCTTGGCAAAACTCACCAATTAAGTGCTGCCTCTCCGCTGGCTCCGCCCCCGACCTGGGCCGTGATTGGCTGTGGCTAGCCTGTCGGAGAGGGGGAGCGCCGAGCTCGCCTGTGGAAATGGGAGGAATTTTCCTGCGAAGGATCGATGCCGCCATTGTGTCGTCTGCGTCGATTAAATTGTTCAAAAGCACAAACCGTGCACTGGGTGGATGAAAGAATTGTGGAAACACCTGAAGACCTGCGGAGAGGAATTAGGAAAATTAACTAATTTAGCTAAATTTTTTTAGCTTTTAAACTCTCCATTTTCACCTAAAGCATTTAATAATTCCCCAAAATCTAAAAATTTAAAAAAATAAAAGTACAAAATAAAATTATTTTTAAATCCACATTGTATACTCTAAAGCATCTAATAATTCCCTGAAATAAAAAAAAAAATACATAGAAATACAGATTAAAGCAACATAATTGGAATTGATATTTAAAAAATAAAAACACAAAATAAAAATTTAAAAGTTAATGAGCTCAAATTAACTCTTTAATTTTCTATCCACCTGTGACCTCATGCTGTGAGCCATTATTGATTTGTGTCAAAACTGTGTAATAATTAAGCAATAATATGAACTTGACAAACAATAAATCATGGGAAAAATAATAGAAAAAAATAGAAAATATAATAACATGAACTAAATGAGATATTTAAAGACTTTACACAAACATAGACATTTTTAAAGTTGTTTTCTTGAATGTAACTTGAAGTTGCGGACTAGAAATTGTATCAAGAAACATAAATTAAATAAATTCACCTTTTTAAAAGTAACTTTAATGTGGTTACTTTAAAATAGTAATAATGTTTAAAATGACTTACACTAAAAGTTAAATTCAGAATACAATATAATATTAGTTTAACAAAGTCCAAACAGGTTTGTTGGTTAAATAAAGACATTATTGTCTGAACTTTCCCCCAAAGCTCTCAGCCAGTTTACTCACCCCATAGTTTCTGAATAGTCTTGTGGTGCGTTGCGGGAGCAAAGCACGCGGAGCTGGACGGTGAGGAAGGAGACAGCCACTGTTTAAAAAGCCATATTTTCCCTTTTCACACTCAGGGACTCTTCATCAAGTGCTATTTCGACGAACAGACTTGCAGACAGAAAGTTTTTAAATCCGCTACTTCTGCAACTCCTAATGCCCGGACCTGATCACAGCAGACGAGATTAATGCGCAGTTTACAGAGTTCACCCGGCCGTTACGTCATGAACCTGGGGACTTTCCCATTATCCAGAGACCTCAGCCTGTTTGTGTGAGCTGCACACACTCCTCCAGCCTCCACTCCTCCTATTTAACCTATTATAAACACTTTAATTACATGTAATCTGATTTTACTGAGACAGTTTTTACTTTGTTTTAATTAAACACAGGAATGATGATAGAAAAAAATTAATTACATGCGTTTAAAAATAGTGTAAACAGCAGTTGCGCTTTGTTTGGCTGCTGAAGGAACCACTGAAATCATTTTATCATTAAAAACTAAAATATAAATGAGTGCAAGAAGTCTTTAACAGATAAAACGTTGCCCTGCCTAACAGCTGAGTCGAAATAACACGACATAAAGTTAAATAAAATACAAATAAACAGAGGCAGTGAGGAGGAATGGAGGCAGTACAGCAGACGGCACAGCCACGCACTAGTTTCCGCAGCGCCGCAGCGGAAGGACACCGTGTTGCAGTTCGAAGGTGTAACTTTAGTTGCAGCCCTGTTGCATCAGATCCGCAGGGGATTCGCTGAGCGCTGTAACAATGTGGCCACACCATTGGTTTATCTGGGGGAACTTTTTTATTTCTATTGGCCTGCCATCGCTCTTCCACTGATTGCTAATCATTACACATTAACACCAGACTGGGACCAGTTCACTGTGGAATATAACCAGTGATGATGTGTGGTGAGGAGCGAACCGTGACCTCCGGCTGGGATCAGAAACACACTAACACACACTTTAATTCAATTATGATCTGAGCTGTGTTTCGTTTCTGTGTGCTCCCACGATTTAACATCACTTCCTTTAGTGTGGTGAATCCTCCTGTGTGGATTTACTTTAAAAAATAATCCCAGAGTGAATTAAAACTTAATTATTTTCAAATTAAACCCACTTAAAGTTGCTTTATGTGACTTTTTATTTCAATTCAATAGAATTTTATTTATCCTGAAGGAAATTCCTGTGCCAGAGGACGCTTCAAATTACAGTAACCACAATTTTATCCATTCACAACCAGTCCCCAGCGTCAGGGTCATTCACTGGGCCCAGTTATAGAACAACAGAGTGTTAAATATCTGTCAAAATAGGTGTTTTCAAGGAGCAAAAGCAAAACCAGTGCCTAACAGAGTTACAGTAGGAGTAAGATAAAAACAAGAGTTAATAAAAATGAACTAAACTGGTGGAGAAAGACAGACTGCGCCTGATAATGAATGTTATATTGATTATGATTTACAGTGAGAAGTAGTTAGTTTTTATAGAGGTAATAAAGTTCACCACTTTATTTACTGCACTTTTTATTTATTTACTTGTTTATTTGACGTTATGGGGGCTCAGTTTAAAGTGTGCAGTCTCGAAATGGAGGGTAATATGATTGTTGTCTTGTGTATTTTAATGTAATTTTCACCCAGTGTCATTTTAGAGGCCTTTTTAGTGTGAAGGTTTTCTATTTGCTTTTCACACTGTTCATGCACAAATATTCCCACAGGTTTAATTACTGATGCAACCTGCACAATTTGGAAATGTATTTTTTTGTGAATTAAGCATTTATTCATAAGAACGTACCGATCTGATGTAAACAGTTTGGGGTACGTTCATGACTGCCACTATACTGTGTTTTAGTTTGACTTTATCATTTCTCTGTGTAAAGACTGTCACATAAATTGATGTGTGTTGTTCGTGTCTTCCTTTTGCACATGGGTAACATGACTGATTACAAACTCACAGCCTCTCTTATTAAAGAGGGCTTCTCTTCGTCACACAAGTATTTCCCTGATGAACGTCTCGCACCATTAAAATGATTTTTCTTAGGAAGTTAGACAGTGTGCAGGAGTTCTTCTACAACTTGTGTTCTCCTTCGCACCCGTTTGGAAATAGATGAGTGAAGTATTCTTTTATTTGACTGTGACAAAACATTGTTTTATATGTAAAATAAAAAGTAGATGCAGTGCAGACAGGTTTCCAGCCATGGTTAGTTTGCAACCTCTGTCCCTGGTTAGGCTTTTAGAATTAAAACAGGAAGTTCAGGACTACTGAGCTTGGAATTAAACAATATAACATATACAATAAAATACAGGCACGGGCTGAGTGACAGTTGAAACCAAAATAAAAACACACACAAAAACATTTGTGAGGCTTCTAACTGCTTTTTAACGAACCCCTGGTTTTAACACATCTGGGGAAAACTGCATTTTCCTTCTCTGCACCTCAGACATGGAACAATCTTCAAAAAGATATAAAATTAGAAACACTTGAATTTAAGGGCATCATAAAGAATGTGGTGACAGAGACACGTGCTTGTTTTTCCCTCTGAGGTCACTATGTTTGAATAGTTGTTTTATTGTGGATTCTTGTATTATATGTTGTATTTGTTGCATTTAAACGTGTTCTGATTGGCTGCTACCTCGGCCAGGTCCGTCTTGTAAAAGAGATTTTCAATCTTAATAGGACTTCCTGGTTAAATACAGGTTAAACAAAAATAAAAATGTTAATATTCCAGACATAAATGCATGGGTGATCACACACAGCATCATGTAAGTTAGTTCCTGTTCAAGTGTCAGAAATCTAAAGCGCTGTTTTTAAAAACAATTTTGTGAAATTATAAGAAATATTGGCATCATGACCTCACTGCGTGGGTCACTGAGCTGAGAAGAAACTTTTTTTTCAATAGATTTTATGAGATATAATTTCTAATGCTATGTTTAGATACATATTGCATTTAAAAAGACAGATGTTTAAATTTAAGATATACTTAATTAGTCCCCACAGGTACATTCCACCTCTGCATCCAAACTATTTAGGAGCATAATTTTACCAAACATATATTTTTCCAGAGCATTCATGTCTTTAATGGAGCATAGAGATGTGGAAATGTGCAAACACAGTCATAAATACACACATATTTGAATCTGTAAATAACATCAGAAGTAAACATGTAGAGAGATTATATAAACAGGGGCGTAGCACCAAATTCTGGGGACTATGCATCAGCAGTCTCTGTGGGCCCCCTGCCTTTCCTCTCTTGATCCATGTCTCTTTCGCGCACCCTTTTAAAATGTTTCTACAAAGTCAGTTTGCTTTCTCTTCCTCTCCTCTCTTTCTTTCTTTCCTTTTTTTTGGAATCCTGATTTTTCCTCATGGGTAAAGACGTGTACGTTGGTGCTCCAGCAGCAGAAGCAGTCACTCACCGCAGAGATGGGACCAAGTCACACATGTGCAAGTCTCAACTAAGTCTCAAGTCTTAACCTTCAAGTCTCAAGTAAGTCCCAAGTCATTTTTTCTTGGGCAAGTCAAGTCAAGTCAAGTCACAGGTTATGTCAAGTCAAGTCAAGTCAAGTCCTCTAATAGGTCAAGTCAAGTCCAAGTCAAGTCACCTTATTATTGTAATTTTACCTGCAGAATCTGATCTTAATAAAGTGAAAAGACAAGATATAAGTAACTGTCAGTAAACATTGACTTCATCGCTGCACTGTTTACTTTGCAGGGACGACCCCCATGCGTGCGCACACACACACACACACACACACACACACACACACACACACTAACCAAGGCAGCGGCCAAAATCACCCATTTAGCTCATTTAACCCTGTGTTGCTTGTGCATAAAACGTACAGCCGGTCTTGTGATGAACCGGTCGGAATGTTCGCTCACATTTTCTGGGGTTAATGTTAGCAAATAAATTAAAAAACAAGTTCCACCAAACCGACCCACCCCCCCACCCCACCCCCGTATCAAATCAAGCTAACGTTAGCTAACTACAGACTAACTAGATAATATTAGCTAATTGACAAGCACTTACTGGGCAGAATGGCTCTTCAAATGATGAACAAAGTTTGAAGTTGTCGCCTGGCTGTCCGAGATGTTTATGCGACATGTCTTGCACTGTGCTGTTAGTCTTTTGCAGTAATAATGATAATTCCGAAAGCCGAAGACGATGACTCTCGGTACCCCTCCCGCTGACATGTTGATGCCTATCTGATATAAGAGGGCCTGTTTCTCCAATAAACACATAAGGTACGTAGAGAGGGCATGACTGACTGACAGGGTAGTGATCCAGTCATGACAACGCCCTACCGGGTAATCGACATTATTTTTTAAATAATTTATTAATTTTAGATGACTCAAGTCATTCAAGTCATTGTGTCTCAAGTCAAGTCCCGAGTCTTTAACTTCCAATTTTTTGTGAAGTCAAGTCACAAGTCATCAAAACAGCGACTTGTGTCGACTCGAGTCCAAGTCACAATGACTCGAGTCCCCATCTCTGACTCACCGCCTCAGCTGCATTTAGTGCAGTGGTGGACTAAACCATTCTGTGCGTTACAGGGGTGAGAGGAGCCTCAGGAAGTGTCCACTATTTTTTATACAAATTTCAGTCTTTGAACAGATTTTATTCAGCCACTTTAATTTAGTATTTTTAATTTTAAAAAAAAACTGCAAACTAAACCAAACTTTTCATCAGTACATAGTTCAGTAAAATGATTAATTTCTTACCTTCTGTGATATTTTTGTCAGATATGCAGTGATGATTTCTGGGTAATATGTATGTTGATGTTGTCCAGTATCAAGTCTGTATTTGTGTCAAGACAATACATGAACGATAGCGTGCACCGGGGCCCGTCGTAACTTCCGTACGGCACTGACAAAGAGGGATGGGTACTTGATCAATTTATCAGAGTTTATCGAGCTTTATTCACATACAGGCCACAAACACAGAGTATGAAACATGTCCTCAACAATACGATTAAGCTGTGCAGTAAAAACCTTTATAAACTGAGAGCCACTCACAATATATGCAACAAAGTGTTGATCAGAGTCAGGAAGCATCAAACGACGCCACCAAAAAAAAACGTATTTAAGCAAACTGCAGCTACTGTAGAACAAAGCAGCACACCTTGCTCTCCAGTGTCCGTGCGGCACTAACAACAGTACCACACATCTCCATCATAACTGGCTAAAAAGTGAAGACGAG